CTGTATTATTGCAGGGCCTTTACCTTATAATATAAAGCACCTTGAGGCAACTGTTGTTTGAATAAAAGAGAAGAGAACTAAATTGAAATTAAATTAATTTCAGCATTTGAATATGCTGGGAATGTTAGGAAACTGCAGTTCTCAGTATAACCATTCAAATGTGAAAATATCCATTTGGATGTGAGTATTAACTAAGAAATACAACAAAATGCTGGAATAAGCGTTCACAGAATAAAGAGTAAATGTGATGCTGTCAAAGTATTAAGTATATTTTTAATATGTATATATGGGGACAGTAAGCTGTATCTTTACTTGGAACTTGAAACTTTACTTTAAACTCTGAGATTTCATATATTGGGGCAAACGACACATGCCTGGACACTGTAGGTGAGAGCCTTTCATTGGATTGGAGGTCTGAGGTCTAGGTTCAGCAATATTTAGTGCCAAAAAAATGAGCTGACTAACTGAATATACCAAAAATGATCAAGTTGTTTCTTCTTTGATTGCATGGACATGGGATGGGATGCCAGGATTCATAGTTCAGAGAGCACAAGACATCATTTTCGCACATGGATTGGCCACCACAGAGTTGAAACCTTTATCACACTGAGGATCTTTGGGATGTGTTTGAGAAGACTTTAACAGTCCAACTCTCCTGTCGTCACTTCTAGGAGATCTTTGTGAATAATTCATGAAACTCTGGATGGAAATAAATATTGTGACATTGCATAAGTTAATTGAAATACCACAGTGATTGTGTCCTGCCAACAAAGCTAAAGGTTGTCCAATGAAATCTTAGAGTTTAACTTTTTTTGGCTGCCCAGTGAATCACACAGTGTCATTATTTGTAGAACAAAAACTAAGTCATTATGCAGAAGCATTTTGTGAAAAACTAAGTGCGCCCTTATTTCTTCTATAGTAATTATAAGAGTAAGTAGCAGCCAGGTGGTGCTCATCACATGCACTTGATTACTTGATCATCAGCATGTGTGAGCAGCACAGATTCTGTTGCTACCTCTCAATCTGGCAAGGGTTATAAGGCCATTTACAAACTACTTGAAGTCCACCATTCTATGGCGACAAAGATTCAAGGCAGTCTTCCCAGGATTGGTGTCACAGCAAATTCACCCTAAGATCAGACCACTGCCAGTGCCAACCAAGAGCTACATCTCAGAGATCTACATGATTCAATGAGCATACTAAAACTTTGGGGTTAAAGACAACACTACTACAAAAAGACTGAAGAAGTATTGCTTGTTTCAAAGGGTTGTCAGAACATAACCTCTGCATAAAGGAACACTGGAGCACATGTTTGAAAACCTGAATCTGAATCTGAATACACCGCAAGGCTTCTAGAATAATGTCTCTTGAACAGATAAGATTCAAGTGGACATGTTTGGCCATAATGCAGAGCATTTGGAAACAAACAAACAAACAAACACAGCATATCAGCACAAACACCTCATACCCACTGTCAAGCATGGTGGTGGAGGGGGTAGGATTTGGGCTTATTTTTGCAGCCACAGGACCCGGGGACCCTCCAGTCATTAACTCAAGGACAACATAATGTCTGAAAAAGATAGAATCAAGGTGGTGAAATGGCCCAGCCAGTCCAGACCTCAAACCTATTTAAATACTATGGCAAGACGTTACAGGAGCTGTGCATAAATGGATGCACACAAACCTCAATGCACTGGTGCGTTGGTTCGAGTGGTTCAAAAATTCCTCCACAACGATGTGAGACACTGATAAAGTCATACAAAAGAACATTACTTTAAGTCATTGCTGGTAAAAGTGGTTCTACAAACTGGGGTGTGTTCATTTTTCACACACTGCTTCTGCATTTCGCGTCAGTTTTTGATAAATAATGACAAGATACAATATGTCATGTGGTGTAGTGCATCTGAGAATGTATTTATCTAATTTTAGATCCTGAAACAAAGCAGAAAATCATTTCAGGATCTATAAAAGACATAAGAAATTTCAAATTTTCCTAGATACATTCTATGACTAAAAGGACATTTTGGCAAAAATAATTTCCTGACAGCAGAGGAACTCTTGCATTATCATACCTTTTTTTTTTTTTTTTAATGTGACAGCAATTTCAGGGGGGCTTGGTGGGTGGGTGGGTGGGGGGGGGATGGAAGACAAAGAGTGTAAACTGTGTGGGTGAGGTGAAAATGGTGCTCATACAACATTTTTACCCAAGAGGAAGGAAAAAGCAACACGATGGCAGCAGCGAGAGGTGACTACTGAAAAACAACACTACATAAAATACAGAACAAACAAATATAGACCTCAGATAATGAGCAGGAAATCAAAGCGGGAGAGGGGTGTGTCACAAGTGAATTCACAGTCCAGTCACAAGCAGTTAGCATTAGCTCTAAGTCCAGGAGTTATCTGCACTTTATTCAGATTAGACTTTCAAAGGCATTTTCCCTCGTTGATCTGAAGCTTTGCATCTGAGTAAAACAGCTCCACACTGGTTTTTTTTTTAATGCTTTAAAATGGGAAATTCATTATGTTCATTACACATGGAAGAATTTTAGGCTCATACATTTCCTTTGAACACTCCCATGGCTGAATGATTTCCCAAGTCTCTCTCCTGTTTTCTCTTTGTACCTAGTCCCCTTTCTCTAGCTTCTTTATGCAGGCGTTCAGCTGTTACGGCTCTTTAGTAACTTTGCATCTTTCCATGTGATAAACTGGGCCTGTTGGCAAAATGGCCAAGGTATGAGTTTCCCTCCACCCTGATGAAGCATCTTCATATGTGCTTCATCAGGTCGGTGTGTGTGTGTGTTGTTTTGAGTGTGTATCTACGTGATGGATAATGAGTCGGCACGTTGAGGGCTCGTATTACCCCCTGAGGGTGTGTGACATCATGGTTTCCAAACTGGTTGGTGGGTCTATATTAAAAAAGCCCTGTCATATTACACACACATACACTCATACAGTGAAACACTGTCTTAACTGAGTCACAGAGGAATGAAAGTCAGATGCTTTCCCAGTACCTATTTTTAAGATAAAGACTCAAAGCTTTGATTTTTTTTAACCTCCCCTCCCTGCTTAGTATAATAGTTACAACAGCGCAACCAGAATGGCAACAATCCACACTGAATGCCCAAAGTGCCTCTGTGCAGCAGCTCAGCATTTTTAGTAGCTGGTGATGAGGCGTTTTAGATGGCAGCATTGCTCTGTCACCTGTTGCCTGGTCCATCACTCCACCGCTCTGATCAAGACTCAAAAAGCTCCACAGCAGAGCTCCACAGAGCTTTTTAAGTCTGGATTCAGATAACCCTTTGTAACTTCAGGCAAGATCCCCAGCAGCTGAAACATATTGAGTGACTTTCGTCATACTTTAAATATTCCTCATCACTCTGAGGTCAAAGCTTCCATCTAACCATTAAAATATGTCAGTAACTTCTACACGGCCTGACATATTATTTGATAGATGCATTTCATGGTTCCCACAATGTGTCCCACTGACTGATATTCTTGATTCCTCTAGCTCCACCATGAGGTCAAATGTCTTAACAACTTTTACTGCAGCAGCATTATGAGTTCAAAATAATCATTTTTCTGATACTGCATTGGTTTTTGACATGCAAAAGAGTAAATTGTAGAACGCTAACACAGCTAACTCTGTCGGCGAAAAACCACACCAGGTGTGGTCGTTGAATCTTCATCGAGCACCTTGAGGCGACTGCTTTTTGTCTCAAGTCAGGTCAAATGAACTCTCATACCAGACTAGCCTATATTAAATTATACGTTTTTGCAACTCGAGTGACAAATTGAGTTAAAGGTTTAAGTCTTGTGCCTCCTGCTCTCATGATTTACATCTTAACCTATTTAACTGACCCCTTTTTCCTATTATATTTTCTCTTTTTTCCCCCCCATCTCTTCCTATCTTCTCATCAAGTTAACCTTCCCTGTCCTCTACTTCTCTCACCCTTCTTTTCCACCACTTCTGCTTTATCTCCTCTGATTTCCTGAGGTATTGGGGATATCGTCTCACCCCTGCGAGGAGTAGCTGATCTCTCCCTTTAGACTCTGAGACTAGGATAATGCCCCCATTAGTCTGTGGCATCTCTCCCTCTCTGTGTTTCCTTTCTCTTGCCTATAAACCGCACATCCACTTGTCAAACTCGGTGAGTGGATGGAGGGAGGAGAAAGGTGCTTTGAAGATCAATAAGAAAGCCCTTCATCCCTCACTCATTCCTCCCACCGGACATCTCACAGACACACAGCGCCCTTCCTGCCTTTTTTTGCTCTCTCTGCTGGCCAGTGTGCTTAGCCAAGATCCACCATAGGACGCTGACCTTCTCTGATTTGATTCCACTGTAACTTTATGGTATGATGACAGTGATCAGTCCTCGCATCAGAGGCGTGCATCAATCATGTTGGAATGTGCTTCTTGTTTTGTTGTCTAATGCGACATCTGCTGGTTACTTCTCTGTAATGCAGGCGTATTTTTTCCCGCTCAAAAGTGACCTAGTTGCATCACGGGAAGCTGGTTGCTCCTTTCAGTGCAATGAACGTCTCTCAGATAAATGCCTGTTTTATTTTGAAGTAAACCAAGTGACCGTCCAGCTCCCACTATCCTCATTATACACTTTGTTTTACTTATTACATGAATGATTAGAATAAACCTCTAATTGTGCTTCATCATCATCATCACCATATCTTTCAATACCTTTGGGGATCGCTTCAGGGGACCCTCTGCTGTGCTTACTCATGCAAAAAGGTGGCCTCTGCATGCGGAAACTCTGTGCATGTCCTTAAGTTAAGCGGTGTGGTTTTTATCTTCCGTTATTCATATTCAGACAGTCTGAGGCTTCCAGCAGTAAACTTTTCTTTCGCACAGGTTGTGCAGCTCGCTTATTTAATAAGCGTTAAGCGTGGGGCTGTAAATCATCAACAAGACTCCACAAAGCCTGCACTGTGGCGGGATGCTGCAGGCCCGCCCATATTCATGCGCAATAACTGCGCAGCAGCGCTGATCCTGAGAATGGCGCTGCTCTAAAGACATTCGGATGGTCCTATGATGTGAAGATCTGTGGTCTGTATTTTTTCTTTCTTTTTACAAACAAGCACGTTTTTTTTTGTGAAAGAAAGCAACACATCCCACATTTAGGCTGCACAAAAGGGGACTCTGATGTTTCCTTTTTGTGGATTTTAGGAAAGTGAGCGCTTTTTCCGGGGGAGTCAAACCGAGTTATTTTTTTTCCTCGATAAAGAGGAAAGGCTACACTCTGCGGGACGCATGATGTGAAATAAGTAATGCAGCCAAAGAGGTCTCCCCCAATAAATGCTTAGCCCTTTAACCCAGAACGCGATCGCCGCCGGTGAGAGGCTCATGTTGCCTCCCAGGTGTTTTTACGCGCAGCCTCTGCACGCTAGTGGAGAAGAGAAAGCATAACGGGGCCACAGACGGAGGATGGTGGCGGAGATGGCCAGCTGCGGTGCGGCTTGCCACCTCGAGGATGGGTAAGTTGTTACTAGATCAGTCGAAAGCGTTGCTGTGCGCGATCCGCGGCGGTTTGTGTTTTTCAATTGTGAACCGTTTTGGGCGAATCGGCGTGGATGCAGAGCTAAAAATCTCGCCTCGCGTCCCCCACGCACAGGAAGTGGGATTCATTGTCGCTGTATTCTTTTCGGGGCTCATCTGCTCGTGCATTTCATGAAACAACAACAACAACGACAACAACATATGTCTGCCTAGTTTTCGCTTCCTCGTTGCAAACACGGTCTGTTTGAAATCTCTTTGTTGGTGTCTGTGCGCTCGCGCCGCTCTGTTGTTAAACATTGTGTGTGACAACAACGTATCACCGAGCGAGTTGGTAGCGCGTGCCAAAGCTGAAGCTGTAAAGCAAAGCTTATGCAACAGTTTAGTTCAATTAAAAACATACAATAAACATCGGTTTTCGTTCACGTTAATGCACAGCCTCACATTAAAGTGCAGTGCAGAGCGAAACACGACAGTGCCCACGCGGCTCGGTGATGCTTTGAGATAATTTTCAGCGGGTTTTAACCGACTGTACTCTTCTAATTCATTCAGTTGTCTTTAGTGATTCTGTTATATTCACCATCAGTTCATCCGTGAGCCACAGACAGGTGAAGTGATACTGATGACTCATTGTCATCGGAGCTACTGAGTTACTCGCACGGCATCACGCCCCACCTGGCAGGAAAAGTCCCCAAACACATGATCAGATGCCAAAAGACCTTAAAGATCTATGAATCTGTTAAATGTGATAGAAATAAATTCCAGCTCCGCTTTGTTTGTGAGGTTATAACAGGAAAAGGCCAACTTTCACTTTATGATTTGATTAGAGATTTCTAACTTGCTGTAAATGCAATAAAAGCAGTAAAGTATGGACAATAAATGACCGGGACAAAGGGCGGCTCTTTTGTTCCACTGCTGGTGCTATGTGACAGTTGTTTATCTATACACAAACGCACTCCTTTCTGTGCTGTTTGTGGGAAGCTGTTGCGACTGTGACATGATCCGGGTTTTATCTTTAAGCAGAAACAAACAGACAAACCACACAAAAGTTTGAGTTATCAAGTATGTTTTTAATTTCTAAACATGTAAGATCATAGGAGGCATGAGGACTCATACAGGAAGAGATGATTACTATTACCATGGCAATGACCCCAGTGGTGTTGTTGTGAGACTGTATGGCAGAGGCGCTGATGAGATGACCTTGAAGACAGAAAGAGAGAGAGAAAAAAAGTTCAGCTTCCTGGACAGATGTTTAAAAACAAAGGAAAGCCTCAGCTCCTTATCAGGCGAAACAGCCGCCAAGCAAAAGAAATAAAGTATCACTTTTTGATCTTTGGTAATAATCCAGGCTTCCTGATTCATTTGCTTCATTTGGACATAATTGCAGCAGAGCGAGAGTGAGACAGGAAAAAACAAAGGCTGACCTATTTTTTTTTTTTTTAAACACATGCTGGTGGTAAACTCGTTCTTCTTGTGGGGTTGGCTTTTTTTTTTTTTTACCCTTGAACAGGCGTGTTTCGTCTTGCTCTGACTGCATCAACAGGTTGCTCCAGTCTTCACACAGCATATACGAACACTTGGACAGCGTTCATGTCTGGCTTTGTTTACAACATTCCTGGACAGTCAGGAAGACTGGGTGCTGTCACTGAATATATTATTGCAGTATTAAGAAGAATATAGGAGCAGTACCATACTGCAGATGCTTGCAGTGATGTTTAGTGTGGTGCGATCCGTTTATCAGTCTTTTGTTTGTATTTGATAAAACTTGTCATGTGCATAAAAATGTGTAGGACAAAGTAACAAAGAGCTTAAACTCAATAATTAGCCAGCTAACATTGTATGATTATAATATTACACAATGGCCCTGAAAATAGACAGCCATATTTACGCTCTGCTTGATGCTGTCTTATGATAAAGCCATAAATGAAAAGAGTCCAACCTGAGTTGTTGAATGGGAAACAGACCCAGCCTGTATGTTTCCTCAGCTCTTTCCTTTGCTATCAACAGCTTTTGAGAAAAGGGAGTTACGTGTGAAAGTGTGATGCAGGCCGTTTAGCCACACACTTCCTCTTTGACTGATTTACTCAGCCGTACAGAAAAGGAGAAGTACCAGCTACTGCGTGATCCTGCAGCTGCACAATTTTTAAAAACAAAAATAAATAAAAAAGCACTTTGAATCTTACACAAGGAGAATTCTGTTTGATTTATATTTGTCTGAATGTTATCTCTTCTGCCTTACAGAGACGGCGATATCCCCGCACCTGAGAACAAAGGTAAACACCAGCCGGTTCATTGCTTTCCTGCCCCCTCTCTTTCAGCAGCTCTTCATGTTTTCATTTTCTCTGAGCTCTCAGTTGTTCTCTTGCTATTTGAAAAGTGTGCATCCTCGTCTATTTATCACTTCTTGTATTTTGTTTTACTCGTCCTTTCGTTATATTTTCCCAGCTGGCTCACCTTTCCTGTTTGCTGTCCTTGTTTCCATATCATTTGCATGAAAGGCTTGAAAGCTGCTGCTTCATGATTTGAATCTCTTGTAACACCGTATGCAAAAGTTGCTCTATTACCTTGAGATCTGGTGACTGTGGAGGCCATTTCAGTACAGCGAACTCACAGTCATGTTTAATTGACGAGTGTGAGATAATTTGAGCTTTTTAATATGGAGAAAAAAGGTTCACTGTGGTCATAAAGGGATGGTCACCAACCAGGAAAATGTTACACCTGCCAGACCTGTTGATGCCAGGCAGGATGGATCCATGCTTTCATCTTGTTTTTGCCCTACCTGACCCTGCCATCTGAATGTAACAGCAGAATGTAAGACTTATCGGACCAGGCAATGTTTGTCCAATCCGGTGTTCTAAGCTAACAGGGAGATGATGCTGCAGCCCATTTTGCATTCAGATAGCTCGAGTGTATTGAGGTGCAAAAAGCAGTGAGGCCATTTTCCTCTAACCTCTGACATCAACAGGGCATTTTCAGCCAGAGGACTGCTGCTCGCTGGATATTTTCCCCTTTTTTGGATCATTCTCTGTAAACCCTAGAGATGGTTATGTGAGGAAAACCCCAGAAGATCAGCAGTTTCTGAAAAACTTCTCCATGTTTAAAACCGCGTACATCACCTTTTTTCCTCGTTCCAATGCCCAGTTTGAATTTCAGCAGGTTATCCTGAACGTGTCTACGTGCCTAGATGTGTTGACTTGTTGTCAGGCTGATTGTGGTTACAAGCGATTCAACAGGTGTACTTAAAAAAGTGGCCAGCGAGTGTATGTTTCCATTCTGATATCAGGTACACTGTAAATCGATATCAGTCTGAGCCTGACTTGAAGCTGGATTGGATATCAGATTTCCAGTGTTTGGTAGTTTAGTCTTATTTAAAGTAGGATAAATGTATATTTAGATTCACTAAATATCTACAGTCTTTCAAATAATATTTCCAAAACATGAATTCCAGTATGGATCTGACAAAGCTGACTTATTTTGATAGCTTTAAATCTACTGGTGGAGTAATGAGTCAGTTAATAAGTCACAAAAAGAACCCATTAACCTCTTTGTTTTTTTTCTGTATTATGGTTTTCAGCCAGCAGATGGCAGCCAACACCTTTCAATACTAACCAAATCCTTGAGGCTGCACACAGCCTCTAGCACTCTCTGCATATTTGTGATTGCATCTGCATGTGTGCATCTGTGCGGGCACTTGCTCTCCACCTCGTTTGTCAGCCTGATGAAGGGAAGCAGCCATGCCCAAACAACAAAGAAGAGGGATGCCCGCTGGCTCAGCTGCGAGACAGCAGCAGCAGCAACAGCTGCAGTGAATGAGATGGGCCATAGGAGGCATATGAGGACAAGGGAGGGAGGCATGGAGAAGAGAGTGCAGGGAGAGGTGAGGCAGACGAATTGAGCAAAGTGAGACAGAGAGATTGATGAGGGAGGCGCTGTGAGCGGAGCTGCAAAGACAGCATCTGCTTGTTAGTCTAAGATAAAACTCTCTGGGCCAGATGAGGAGGGGCTCCATCCATTAGCCAGCCTGGCGCTCGGCCACATGGCCCGGTCCACGGACAGTCAGTGCTGCTGGGAAGAGAGAAGCAGCAGCAGTTCCTCTGGACCCCATCTATGTAAATGTGCCAGAATGTTAATGCATTGCACTTATCACAGGCTTGTTCACGGGGTGCTGCGGTTCAGCTGCCGTGAATGACGCATCTATAAAAAAACTGCTGGTGTACTTCAGCCCTGCTCAGGGCTTTTTGGTGACTAATATGAATGAAGCCTCATAAAGAACCACACACTGCACGAACCTAGAAGTAAACTAAAACTGGAGGTTTCTCACTGGGGCTGCACCTGTTCTAATTCTGTACTTATTTTTGTGATGCATCACATGCTTCACTCTAGTTTTTTTTCTTTGTTCTGACTTTTAAACCATGTGAGTGTTGAGCGCTTGAGGCTTACTTTCTCTTAAATAGGCATTTTATTTTTGTGGGGGAAGTAGAAGAAGAAACGGTCTGAATAATTTAGCTTTCCCTCGATTTACATACTATTGGTTGTTTCTGTTTTTACTGCAGAATTATGGTTGCTTTTCTGGTTAATGGAAAACAACAGCAGCTTTTTTCTCTCTGACAGCTGTCAGGGTCCTGGGTAGTATGACTAAAGAGGGGGTTGATTATCAAACCATTTAAAGTATTCTAGTTTCCGTAGTAGTGATGATGCCATAATGACAATCACAATGACATATGTATAGTAGTGAGTAATAAAATTGAGGGAAATAAATGTTTTTGGATTTTCTCACATTTTGAAATTATTGCATCAGATTTTCCTAAATAACCAGCAGCCGTCTCAACGTTTTCTCTAATCTGTTTACAGATAATCTGGCAGAAAATGACAGCAGCGGTTCAGGTAAGCACAAATATCGCACTGTGCAAAAGTCTTGAGCCACCCCTCATTTCTTTATATTTTGTTTACAAAATTGGAAATGGGTTCAGCAATTTATTGCAACGTTCAAGCACACATGGAAATACTACATTTGAGGCAAAAATAGAGTTGAAAGTCAGTATTTGGGACGACCAGCTTTATTCTTCAACACAGCCTGAACTCTCTGACCCAGCTTTCTTGTAATTCCTTCAAGTAGTGTTCAGGAATATTTCTTCACGCTTCTCGAAGGACATCCAAAGCTCTTCTTTGGCTCTGGGGGGGCCAGTCCATGACTGATGCTGGTTTCACTCTGTGTTTTTCTATCCAGGTTTGCTTTTACTACACTGGCCTGTATATGTTTCATTGTCAAGCTGCGCCCAGTCAGACTCTTTCCAGATGGCATAGCATGGTGGATCAAAGTCTGATGATACTTTTCTGCTTTTGTAATTCCATCAATTTTGGCAAAAATCCCCTATGACAGCATCTCTTCTGTTCACATGATGATTTAAACCAAATATTTCAAATTTTGTTTTCTCTATTGCCCTTGCAGTTCTTGCGTAATTTAGCACACCCCAAGTTTTTCTTCCTGTTTCCCCTTTCTTAAGTATTTTTTCTTATTTCTTAAGGACGTGACTTTCAGATATAGTTAATCCGCTATAGATGCTTTTCTAGCTCTGCCACTTCTTTTGGTCAGTTTCCTCATATTTTTTTTAAGTACGTCATGATGAAATATGTCAAATCTTTGGCTAATAGCTCTTTGAGAATCACCTTGCTGGTGCAAAATACTGTTGTATGTCCGCTGAACCGTGTAAACATTTTTTTTGTAGATTCACCTAAAGGGATGGTACAACATTGTGGCTGCCTGCTAGTGACAAAGGTCCTAAATATGCAATTTAAAAATTGGTTGTAGCAAACAAAAACCTTCTTCTGAAAATAAAGTTAGAAAACTAGAGTGAAAATTAGGTCTTTTAGATCTTTGATAGACTTTCAGAAAGCCAGGAGAACCGTCGCCAAAGACCGCTTTAAAAAGACTAGACAGCCTGGCTTCCTGGAAGCAATATAAAAAGAAATAAGTGGTGCTCAAGCCTTTTTTCACAGCACTGTATGTTTAGCCAGCTGTGGCATGAATCTCTTTTATTTTTTTATTAAAGATAAATTCTTTTAACACATACTCTGCACATCGATTTGTTGAACAGAAAACACAGGAACATCCACCGACGAGAGCTCAGAGGACGAAGACAACAATTCAGAGGAGGATGAGGCTTATGGTGAGAGCCACATTTTCATAACTTGATGAAATAATTTTTCTTTTTGGAAAGGACGATGAGAAAAATCACACTCTTGTTTTCCTTGGTAATATGAAGATCCAGACAGCAAGTGTCACCTTTGCTTTGGATAGATTTAAACACCTTTTTTTAATTCTTCCAGCTCCTCTAAAACTCGTTAAGTGACATGTTGTTTAATCTGAATAAAACTGTTGCTAAGATGACACTCTGGGGCAGTGACGTACTGAAGTTTTGTCATCAGGTTGGGGGAAAAAACCCAAGATAAATTGTTATAATTAGTGAGTTTCACAGGTGCTGTGGGCAGAGTTGGTTTTGACCTTTCCCTGCTTCTGCCCTTTGTGCTAAGTTAATGAGCTGCTGGTGGTACTTTTTATATTAGGCGTTGTTTATAAAGTGCCGATTTTTCTCAGAGATGTCCCAGGAAATGAATGCATGCTGCAAAACGTTGAACTATTTCCATTAATATTCCTGCTTCTTCTTTTCCTTATCATTTTATATTTCAACAGGAGGCACTGAGAGGGATGGAGAAGAGGAAGGTAAGATCTGTTTGACTCACCAGAGTCACTACTTCACGACTCCTCGTGTTGCCGCTGATCAAATGAATGAGTTTAAAGTCAACAGAAGTGACTGTTTGAGGCATTGTATTCTGATGTGTTGCATTTTGGTTTCAAGAGTTTTCTATAAATCCTTCAATTTGCTTTGTTTCCTATCCAGAGAATGAAGAAGCCCATGCAGAAGACTCTATAAACAGTAAGACACACCAGGAAATAAACTCTTATTTTGCTTGTTTGTGTACATGTAGATGTTGGTGCCTGCTTGTAGGAGCTGCCTAAACCTTAGCGATGACTCCGTAGTCTATGGTCACAACTGTGTTTTACTGGCAGTAGTACTACATAATTATGTCACAAATATCAGATTCAGCTGGCTTTTTAATTAAGGAATCAAAACTAAAATGTAACTGAACACACTCCACCCTCTCGCAAACATCCACACACTCGCGTACACACACACACACACCCTGGGACTGGCTGTAAAATTTGTTTGTGGGATATCTCAGAGGCTTAAAATTGGATTTCAGCCTGCAAGATTCTCATGTGATAGTTGCTGATCAGAATTCATTTACCTCACAGAGGCAGGTGCTGGACCTGAAGCAGGGGTGTTAAATGGGAAAGGTAAGCCCATGCCAAGTAATGCGCTACGCTGCACTCATGATAGTGTTGCCCGGCTCATGAATAACCTCCCGTTTGTTGCCATGTATGCTGACAGATGAGAGGCCCTTCAAGTCATGCTGTGAAAAATGCAAAGCCGTCCAACAGGTGAGCTCAGAAACCAGGTGCTATCTGACAAAATGCGATTTTACAGCTACCGTTTAACTTCGTCTGACCCTTAATTCTGTCTTCATCACAGGGTTACACTCTGAACAAAGTTCAACACAGCCAGGCTTTCTGTGCGTTAGCTGGCTCGACAAAACCTGAAACCCCTGTTAGAGATAACGGGTGTCAAGGCGGCAGTTATCAGATTAAGCTTCAGGCCTGAAAACAGGATTGTTTCACGGGTCATATCACTCTTTTTCCACACAAAATTACCCCAGGAGTGCAGCCCACTCCAATCAGAAATATTATCAGATGATGATAAAATGGTTATTAAATATCTTTAAAGAATATAAAAATATGGCCGTTAAACACTGTAGACACTGTTGAAAATAAGACAGAGATTAAAGCTGCAGAAAATCCTTAATCTTGGGATTTATCACACATCCCTGAAAACGCTCCCTGTGCTGTTTCTTTGTAAGGTGATGGCTACACATTAGACCTCTGAAACTTAAAGCTTATTGTTCCAAAGCCTAATAATGGAGACGTGGAGATGGCTTTAGTTTGTCGGCAGATCAAAGTGAAATTAGTTTTATCGATCGAACGTGTTTTCTCTGTTTTAGTAGCTACATTAAAACATTTTCTGCATCACCAAACTAACACATGCACATTCCTGTGGCAATGAGACACACGGTTTGTACTTTATTCAGTAGTTTTTAAATCATTCTGTGAGAAGAGAAGAATCAGTCTAAACTTGGCACTTTCAGCTGATTTTAAACCCAAACTCTGAACATAACCTGCTGCTGACCAGGTTATATTCGGCATAAGTTACCACGGTGTTTTAGCTGGAAAAAAAATCCATTTTTATGACACAGAAAACTCTGATTTTAAGCTTGAGACGGCTTGCTAAGCCATTAATCTCGCTTTGTAGCACACTCTTTTACCTGTTTCTGTCCTTACTGTGTGCTTTGCTGTTGTTTGCTTTTCACAGAGCCATGGCAGTGAGCTCGTTACCCCGAAGAGACTGTCCAAGGGGCGGTTGCAGTAAGTGGAACATTGTCTCCATGCATCATGCTCACGTTTATTTTGTTCTGATTGCTCAGCATCACTGACTCTGTGTTTGTGTCTTTCAGGGTGCAGCTAGAAGAAGAGGGCACATATGAGTGTTCAGTCACTGGTCTGGTTTTTGAAGCGTCCGAGCGCGTTCTTGTGCGGTACTCTGTCTTATCCTGGTCCAAGTTTGGCGCCTTTCTACATGACTCCTGGAAGTTTGCTGGACCCATCTTCAATGTGGACACAGTCAATAAGGACGCGTCTGTCCTCAAGTCCATCCAGTTCCCACACTCCATCTGCCTTGCTCGTAAGCTCGTAGGGCATTCACCCAGCACATTTACGCTGTGTCAATGAAGCAAGAGTTCTGACTCGGTACAACAATAACTACTCAGTTTAAATGTGAAATGTTGTTTTTCTGTCTTATATCACAGATACTGACAATGACATGACATTCAGTGTCCTGCACATAAAGGGCAACCGTCCAGTCATTGAGCCTACAGTGGATCACTCAGGGAGCCACGTTAAGTGGAATGTGACGTCCCTATCGCCCGTTGGTCCCATCATTCAGACGAGCCAAGCTGTAGAGCACCATGGGGTGGTTCTGGTCTACAAGCAGCTCACCCCTGACAACAACAGCTACAGCTTCCACGTTTATCTGGGCACAAACAGTGCATCTGACATCAAGGTAAGTGGTGTTTTTCAAAAAAGATCTCCAACCAGCTCTGTTTTGGTTGTCAGTAGACTTGCGGTGTATTTCCAAACCTGACATATGGTTTTGGAAATTTGGTCAAATTTAACCAAACCCTCCTCGGGTTTCAGGATCCTGTTTTCTTTCTCTTTCTCTGTCTTCATTTCCACAACATCCAGTTAGAGCACACTTCTTTGAAACGGGGATTGGCAATTGTTAATGACGCGATTTAAAAAAAGTGCCTTGTTTATTTTCATTCTTAAAAGTGTAACTGGGATTCAGCACTTCTTCCCCCCCAGTATCTGTTTCTGTTCCATAACGAAATACTGCAGTTACCTTGCACTAACGCAGCATGCACATGGTTACACAAGGTTATTTTCTGATCATGCCTGACCACGAACACACATGTTTAACAAATGCACATGTTAAACCCAGACGACTGAGGACAGTAATCAGTTTCACATTTATAGAAAATGCATATGTATGTGTGTGTGTGTGTGTAGATATAAAACTGTTAACTGCCCACTTTTAGAAGAACACGACCGGCCGACGCTTTGACCGACTTCTCATGATGTTTCTCTTAGAGTGAAAAGTAAATTCTGGGTTTCAATTGAGGATTTTTTTTTTTACATTGAGTAGAGTTCAAAAATAAAACTGCAGCAAAAATACCTTCGTTGCAGGAGCAGCACACAGAAATATTCCATTCATGAGACCATCAAAAGTCTCCTTGTGTTTTTCAGTCACGGCCACGTCTTTCTGGACGAAACTCCAGAAAAATACCTCACCATTGAAATTTTGTAGAAATTTGTTCGAAATGTAGCTTCCACTTTTTGTTAATTAGTCACACTACCAACAGCTAGTGCAGATTTCCAGGATTTTGTATTTCAGCTACAATTTGTGCTACCGGCCTTAGTAAACCACCTGTCATTTAGTTATTTACAGTGAAGCGCAGGGTTTGTGCAGGGAAATGATTCGAGTATTCATCTTCTTAAAACAAAGAGTCATATCAAAATGAAAGAAAAATGTCAGTGGCCAAAATAGTGTTTGCGTTACTGTAAGTGTACCATGTAAATATGACGGCTACATGACATTAAAGCTGTAAAGCTGTTGGTTTTTTTTTTTTTTCATTTTTTAAAAAAAAAACTTGAACTACTGAACTCACTCAGGAAGTGTTTGTGGTTTTGTGAGCATGTGTGTTTGTTTTTGAGGATGTTGCTGGTGAATAGTCATTCATTTATTATAACCTAAAAAAAAGGGCTATTTCTAAAAATGCATTGATTATTTTTTTCCCCGTATGATGTCTTTTTTTCCATTGCTGCTGTTTTCCCGTCGCTCTGTCCTACCGTCATTCACCGTGAACTCTGAGTCCTTATGAGACGCCCTCAGTTTAGTAACTTCTCTGTCATCGTTGCCTACAAACTGAACACTCTGCTATGTTTTTTTTTAAACTAGGATATAAAGAATCAGGTGCGGGGCTACAAGACTCGCTACATTGAAATAGTAAAGCCTCCCACGTGCAAGCTGGACGAGGGAACGTATCGTCTCCTGAGCGAGCCGGAGGGAGACATCAAACCTCAGGTGTGTGTCTCTCAACAAATCTGCAATTTACGTGGATCAAAAAGCAAAAACCTTACATGTCTTAAATTTGGGCTTTCAATGCGATCTCCTTGTGCACCTCAGGGCGGCTTCCAGCACTGCTGCTATTTTTTTGATTGCTCAGTGTTAGTCCCATTCTGTCCACGTTCAGCCAGCAAGGCAAGCTGGATCTTTTCCTCCTTGGTGTAAAAATGGTGACTCTAATACGAAATATTATTTTTTGGAGAAGAAGACTCACTCACTTCATCATATGTTCTCCCTCAGATACTTGAGGAGATTCGAATGGCATTAGAGTTTGCAATGACAAATTTACAACAAACAACCTGATGAATATCTGGGTGGCTAAAAGAAAGACAAACATGTTCCTGTCCTGTGGATTTTTTAACTAGAAAATGCTACTTGGTCTGTTGGCCATAGCTGGAAACCCAGCTTTCATTATCTTTGCTAATCCACGACGGGAAAGTCTCGCCAGGCTGACAGTGAAGTTTGATGTCTGCACAAGACACATTGGTTAGAACTGGACTTCCACAGAAAGATCTAAAAATAGCAGGAGAACTAGAAGTAGTTCAGACTCGTCCAAAGGTGCTTTTTGATTTGATCTCATTTATAAGATTTTGCTTTTGTATTTCACTGACTACACAGCTAAGTTGTGGCTGTGTGTCTCTGTACAGGAACTGAAATTCACCCTTGCAGTCACTAAGATGAAGGGCTACTTTGAGGCTTTCTTTGAGCAGCACCCTCCATTTAAATTGTCTCTCATAGAGATTAACACTGAGGAGACTGTATGGTCTGCTACCATCAGAGAAGGTACCGGTGCATGAGTCTTACTTTGGAGACACTTTTGTCTTTTGGGAGTTTGTGTTTATGTTGACCGAAAACCGAATAAACCAAAAAGGATTCACTGGTCCACGTCCATCTTTTGCTCTTCCCTTAGGTGACTGTGTGGATAACACTGAGAAGAAGCCGAGGAAAAGGACAAACAGTATGCTGGCTCTTTCACTTTTTTGTAATCCGATTAGACTTTAGCACGTTTTTAGCTTGAAAACATTAACTGATGGTATATCTGTCTCTGAAATAGGCAGACAGAGAAGCAGCAGCCCCTCAGAAGACGAACTAGCCTTTAAAAGAACTCGAATGCAAGACGAGCCAGGTATCTTTAAGTGTCTGACTGTGATTTCAGCAAAACTTCATGAACAACTTTATGGCCAAGTCAACAGTTCATACCTGAACTATTCCAGATATGCCTAAAGTCTTACTAAAAATAAATACCCATGTGTTTATGTGCATCTTTCTCCAGATGGAGTGAAAACAGCGGCCACTCAGGGCCAGGACATGTCAGAGAAGCAGCTGCTACAGGTGGCCAAGCGGCTCGGGAAGGAGTGGAAACAGGTGGCTATCTTTCTAGATGTTACCTCCAAGGAGCTGGATAATATCCAGACAGCAGAGACAGATGTGACCATGCAGAAGTTGAAGATGCTGTTGATGTGGAAGAACAGGAATTCCGGAGAAGCCACGGCTAGGAATCTTTTGGAAAGTGTGAAGGAGCTGGATGACTTGCCAAATGAGGTTCATCAGACATTACAAGGTACAACACTGCAAACCTAAACAATTTAAGATGGTGATGAATGCTCGTGAAAAGCAGGCATGTAAAAGTCAACCAATCAAATTGTTGTTAGATGGAAAATCAAAATGATCAACCTACAGAGGGCTGAATTCAGGGACACCCCAAAAATCAAAGTAAAAAAATAATCCAGCAGACTAGTCTGTGTTACCAAAATTCTATTGAGGAAGTAGTTTGTATGACCCACACATGCTTGGTATCCTAAGGGATCTTTTCCCATATCTTGACTAGGGCATCACTGAACACCTGAGAGGTGCTCGATTGGATTTAGTCAGGCAGCATGGCAGCGAGTCAGGGGTATCAATGCATTCATCCTCCAGGAACCACCTACATAGTCTCTCCACGTGTGACCGGGCTGCAGGAGGAAGCCAGTACCCACTGCACAAGTCTAGGGTGTGACAATACGATTCAAGGAATTCATCCTGATATCTAACTGCAGTCATTGTGCCGTTGCCTAACCTGCAGAGGTTTGTGGGTCTCTCAGACCATCACTGACCCACCACCAAACCGGTTAACGGGTAACTGAACGATGTTAAAAGCAGCATAACTTTCTCCACGGCTTCTCCAGCCTCTCTCACACGTGCTCAGGGTAAGCTTGCTAAATAAGAGTCTCCTGGAATCTCCTCCATGCTCTTGAGACTCTGCCGGTCAATTGCAAAGGCACGTATTGACGTGCTGGGTCTAGGTATGGCCAACTGCTACCAGTGGTGACACTGACCGTAGCCGAATACAAAACTAGTGAAAAAACAGTCAGAAAAGATGAGGAGGGAAAAAATGCGAGTGTCCTCAACCTGTAAAACATTCCTGTTTTATGGGTTGTCTCATTGTTCCTCCTCTTGCAACACCTGTTGTTTATTTCATCAACACCAAAGCAGCTCAAACCGATTAACAACACCCTCTGCTGATTAACTGACCAGGACAAAATCCCAGAACTTTAACTGACTTGATGCTTTGCTCAGATTAAAAAGTGTTCCTTTTCATTTTTTAGAGCAGTGTGTACAAATAGCTATCTGTACAGGCTCATGTAAAATCTGTACAAAAGGGACAAGCCTTTTGTTATCAGTATGCATAAGCTGGTAATGTTTGAGCAAGCTTCGGTTGCATGCAGATAAACAGTCCTTTCCACGGAGCACAAAAGATGGATTCCATTTGAGAAAATGCGTCAGATAATCATCAGCTATTGCCTGCTGACGATTTATCTTGTTTTTCTGCATTAGTCAAACAAATATTAGCTGATGGAAAGGAAAATCTTTGTCCAGATATCCCCTGGATGCACCAAAAGCCCAGAAAAATACAGTACTAGTGAGATGACATATTTTATTTGATGTATTTTTGTAGGCTAACCCTGGGACTGAGGACCACACCTGGTTCCCTTTGAAAACAAACAAACAAAAAAAACAGTGGGACTTTTCCACTTCGTGGATAATTGCAGAACAAAACTGGGAAATAAAAGGTTATGACTGTACGTGTTTCATTCAGCAATGAACAATCTTGACCAATTCTTGTACTTTTATGTGTTTTGGGTTTTTTCTTTTAGTATATTTTTACTTTTTAATAGGTGTAAATAATTAAAATCTTTTACCAAATGAGACTCGCAAGTTTGCGATCCTTGGAGAAAAGTAAAATGCTAACATCGGAGTTTATAGCTTAGGCATGTTCAGTGTGATGACGTGAACGTCTGAAGGATCATGAAACCGCTTGTTAACGAACAACTTTTACTCTAAAACAAACTGTAAAAATACTCCAAGCTTCTGTTAGTCACTGACTTTATTTCAGGCATCTAACCGAAAAACTGTTCTAAAACCCATCACGGTTAGGACAGGGGAACCTGAAATACAAAAGGCTCATTTCCAGGAACCGTAGAATGGGACTGGCTCCCAGAGGCCAACTCATCAGAGTAGTTGTGTTTGCGATGAGCTGAAACTTCTTGCTACTTACCTAAATAAAGTATGCATGACAATCCCACCGATTCTATGTACTGCAGTACAAATATTACTGTCTCAGCAGCTCTTTAACTCTTTAGGTGAAGAGCACTGAAAATTCAAACTCAAAGGATGGTACAGAATCTTAATTCATTATTTGTTGTTTGTTGTTTTCAGATATGATGGTTAACGAAGCGGTAAAGTGAAAGGGAAAATGAAAGTGAATTCCATCACTCTTGGATATCATCGGCGGGAAGAAACGATCTCAGGACGGGATCTCAGGAACGCAACAGAGCAGAGTTAACGTCTCCCTTCAGTTTGCATTTCTCTTTGAATATTTTCTAGATATGAAACTGATTTGTTTATAGTTCTGCATTTCATAAAAAGGAATCATTTTGTTTCCCTTCTTTAGTTCAGCTGTAGGTTTCTTGGGTTCTGTGGTGAGTACAGAACCGACTGTGCTGTATCTAAGGATACAGAAATAAATTAGCTTACCTTTATTTTTAAGCAGGTAAAAAAAATGACCAGTAGAGGCGTAGAGGTCATTGAGATGTTTAGTAGCTAATTATGTAGCCAGTAACAGATGTAAATGTTTGGTGCTGCAGTGTTGAAACTGCAAAGACATCTGGAAAAATCCATCCATTTGTGTGTGTTCTTTCACTTTTGAATGTTGGGCTTGTGGGAATTTTTATAAAACAATTAGGCATTATGTCACGTGGACGTGAAAATGACTGTCCACAGAATTACAGACTGAACTATGAAACTAGTTTGTGTTTTTAGAAACTTGTCCGCACTATTTCCTGTAAATAGATTCCATTTCATTGTCACTCATGTTTTTTTAAAGCCAGTTATGTCTGTTTTTTGTCTACATGTCCTTTATTTGATGCGATAACCGTGACTCTGTAAAACAGCTGTGCACGAGGACCAGAAAATGATGCTGATTTTGTTTAACTGGGAATTACGTCCTGCCCTCCGGAGGCTTGAATGCATTTCTTTTCTTTCTTTTTTTTGTTTTTTTTCCCCTAAATGTGTAATCTTTATGAAAAACAAAAATGCAGCATGTTGGGATTCAGGGATAAATTTAGGTGTTTTACCTGTGTGAGTGCAGCTAAAACTAAGCAAAGTATATTTGAATTCAGTTTTTTGAGGATTATTTCACGGATCTAGACCTCAGGTATGATTAAGTACAATAAAATCAGCAGGAACAGCTGTGGAAATCTTTCAGGTACCAATTGCAAATGTTTTTGTAAACATTATTTGAGAAAACCACAATGTTTCATTAAGAGAAAAGGGTTGTTTCCTTAAAAGAAAAATACCACTAACAGTCCAATTTATCCCTGTTACAAATGTTTGTTGTTGTTGTTGTTGTTGTTGTTTTTTCCTTTTTCTTTTTAAATCATGTCAGAATCTCTCCAAAGACTTTTCATAAAACAAGTGAAATCACTGTTTGTTTCATCATTTTAAGGAAAGTGATCCGAATTCACACCAAAACAGAATAGTTCCTGCTTTTGATCATGTCTCACCAAGTTTCAGCTGCTTAGTTTTTACGTAATATTATTAGAACGTTGTTCAAATAAAAGGAAACAAATCAGATTATGAAGAACTGAATACTGTGGAAAACAAAATCATCTGTCGTTTAAGGGTAGGATTCGAGCTCGAGACAAACATCAAAGTTAAGATTGTTTAGGTGTTCCCTTCATTTACTTTTTGTATATTTTGAAACAGGCAGTAGCCTTGGCAGAAGAGATGAAATAACGAAGCGCTATTGACTGAAGGAAACAACCGAAAGTCTCCTACATGTTTCTTTTTTACTTCATTTCTTAACTTCTAACTGATGGTGAACAGTTTCAATCAAAATCACTTCAACTTTGATGCTTGATAACAAAATACTTTATTTAAATAACAATAAATAACACAACTGGAGATCAAATAAATAAATAGATGCAATAAATAAATAAATAAAATAATTCAAATAATTTGAACATTCTTCAGCACTTACTGAATGAAGATACTGGAGTTGAACCAGCTAGCTTATGCCTGAGTAAACTTCCTTCAGTGCAGACAGTTGTGCAGCAGGTACATTGTAGAACTTGGTCAGTAGTTGAAAGAGATGGTAGTGACTAATTAGGACAGCTTGTTCTGATGTGATAATAGAGATTTGATATTTGTTGTGCTATTATTTGATGAGGCTGAAGTCGAAGAGGTTGCCGGACGTTTACTTCCTGTGGTCTCCCGAGGAGATGTAGCCAATGGCTCGGTTGATAGTGATGGCTCTGATGTGGAAGCCTTTCATCATCTTATTCATCTCCAGCCGGTTGTTGTAGGACTCATTGCCCCACACCTTGGCATCCTGTTACAACAGGAGAGGATAGAGTGTGAATGCAGGACAATATGGTCTCAGGAAAAGAAACCCCAAATACTCAAGATCAGTGATCCTAAAGACTGAAAGACAAGGTGTAAATATGGAACAAAGAATATAAAAATACCTTTGAGGGCAGGTTCTCTACATCCAGCTGTGGAAAGCAGTTCTGTATAAACCAAGGAATATTTAGTTAGACAAGTACTTCCCAGGAGATTCAAACTATTTCACCTTGAAGTCTCGATGTCTCAATTTTAAAAAAAAATTGCAAGATAAACACACCTCTGTGAGATTCTTTGTGATTTCCACGATTGGGCTCAGAAGTCTAATTTCCTCTGGACCATTTTTGAGAGGACCTGTGAGGTAAGATGCAATCGCTTCGTGATAGTAGAGCAGGTCCTTCTTTATGTTCTTCAGACATTCACTCTGTCAAAACAATGGGAAAAACCCGTTCAGTTTCAGCTACAATACCAACACATGCATATGAATCATAGCTTCTTTTTATAGAATATACAGTGTGTCTGACACTGACCTCACTGAAGGAAGAATTTCTTTGTGTCACGCAACCTAAGTTCTGTGCAGGAAAACAAACAGACATTTAAAAGCAGCAATGTTTACACTACAGTCATTTGAAGTTGTCCAACCAATTAAAACACAGTGAAAGCTGAACTGAAATTATGACAGCTGTCCCCATAAACTGTGCTGCTTTGGGAAAAGGCTCACCTGAGTCAGAGTGGGTGCACAGGCCAGTACTGTCTCCCCAGTATTCCTCATCTCAATTTTTTCCGATTGGATACCATCACTCAAATAAGTCTGTAATACACAGTAAAAAAATATTGCTACAGAGTAGAATAATCACGGATAAACGACACAGATACCGAGAAAACAAAGGGAGGAAAATCATGCAAAAAAATCACACGCTGCTGAGATTTGTACTCACACTGTCCAGAGCTTTTGAGATGTTCAGCAGGAGCATCTTGTAGAAGTCGGCGCACTGACCGCCGGTCCCCGGGCTCGGTGCGGGCACCGGGAGAGCTTCGGATGTGCGCCAGCTCAGGGACAGCAGCAGCACACAGCTGGCGACGTCTGTAAGGAAAGAGAGAAACAGCCGTCAACGCACGAGCCTACACGGGCATTACGACACCCAGCTTGCACGAGCACGCAACAGAGCAATTTAAATAACAGCCAATCTGACTTACATAGTTGAAAGTTTGCCATAAGACTACTTCTGATCAGATAGGGAACTTGGCCGGAGCTTGGTAAATCAGCACTGTTTCAGTCTCCGTATGAAGCTGGGGTTTATATACTTAATAGCTGGGGGGGAGGGGGGGGGATTCCCTTAACTAAAACTTTTTGTAATTTTTTGTATGGTTGAAAGAAAAACAAAAGATCTCTCTCTCTCTCTCTCTCTCTCTCCCTTCTCTCTCTCTTTCTTTGATTAATAGTCTTAAATACCCAGCTCTGGGAAAAATTAAAGCGCGATTTATGAGAGCATTTCCTATATACCAAGGTGTAAAAAAGTCCACAATGATGAATAGCCTTCTAGTGAGGTAATCGTTGAGATCTTTTTTATATTAGGGGAAAATAAACAAGGAGTTTGCCGATGTGACTGTTGCAGATTGACAGGAAGCATCTATGAGGGGCACTTTCGATAAACTATATACACTCACAAGCTGGGATTCGTTCAGCATCCGGTGCCTTTACTTTCAGACTATATATAGCCCACAGTCCTGGAAGCTGACGACGCCCTACCCGCAACATATCAAAGTATAGTCAAGTGACGGCATTTGCATATTTGCATCAAATCAAAACAACACGGATGGATGACGATGAAGGGAAATTATTTTTTAAGCAACTTTTTCAGTACATTTAAGCGCATGCACTGCGCAGCCTGTCCTCAGAAAGTGTGCAGTGTTATAAAGATGCAGTGCACGTGTACCATTTTATTCACTGCAGCAGTCTGTGCTTGTGAGGTGCACAGTTATTGATTCCTGCAGACCTGGTTGCAGAATAAATCATAAAAACAGAAATAAAATAACCCAACTGTTGGTAAAAAGGAGCGGCTGATAGTAAACTAATCATAGTAGGGGCCAAACCAACATTGTGGTCTGTGGTGGTAAATTGTCAGTGGCCTGTCATTAGGTGAGTAAGAGCTTTATTCACTTGTGGTAATTAATTCCACGGACGTTCTCCCCAACAGATACTACCGGGTGTCCATTCAGGCATGACTAATTACGCATGTTCTTGACCAACTGACTGATAACGTCAATGAAGAGGAGGTGGCATTATTATTATTATTATTTTCCTCGTGTTGAGGAGTAGGTGGTTGTGGTTTATGTCTGCTTTGTTTTCACTCATGCGCAAACTTGGAAAACAATGAGCAATGCCAACCAATCCCCACAGGGCAGGGTAACACGGTAGCCTGGCCAGTACAACACCGATAGCGCTGAATATCAAATCTATTAGAGAAATATTGGCTAAAGCTACAGTTTCTTTGCATAAAATATAAAATAATAACATTTAAATTACACAGTGTAGCCGCCTGACAATGTAGTCCCAGCAGTGTGATACTAAAATGCTGCTAAGGGACAGAGAATAAAATCACTGGATAATAAAAGTCCAAAAAAAAGTTTAAAAGAAAAGTTCTTCAGAACGGGTACTTTCTTCTACACTTAGATTATGTTCTATATATATATATATATATATATATATATATATATACCAGCTCCTTCTGACTTATAAATGAACTTTAATTTACCTTTTAACCACTCCAGCAAATTATATGAATACACCCATCCATCCATCCATCCATCCATCCATCTTCATCCGCTTTATCCGAGGCCGGGTCGCGGGGGCAGCAGCCTAAGCAAAGAGGCCCAGACCTCCCTCTCCCCAGCCACCTCCTCCAGCTTATCCGGGGGAACACCAAGGCGAATACACCCAGTATCCATGAATGTAGTTCTGAACTGCGTATTTGCAAGTTTTTAAAATAGTTTTGTGTCGTGACACAGTGACTGTATTTACAAGAAGATAATTTTCAGGTGGCGTTTGGATATCAAAATTAGCTGTTAAATAACCCTACTACTTGAAACATTTAATTAAATAAATTCTCTTAAATCGGTTTTACTTTTCCGTGAAAGGAAAGTTAATCTATCCATTTTTATTTATTCTTTTTTTTTTACATGAAATAACAAAAAAGATGAAACAGACAGATGAGTGTGTATTTAACCTGTGTTAAATACACATTTCACTGAGGCTAATCCTAACTCTAACCCTGGAAGGCTGTGGATATGATCAAAACCTCCAGAACAACAGTGAAGGTGAGACTGTTTTAACAATGTCTATTTCATATGTGACAAATAAACTTTGAACTCTTTTTAGATGGTGTCTATGCTATGAGATATCTGCTTTCTATCTATCCACAGAGGATCGGAGAATTACACAAGACTCAGAATGAGAGTAATGTGAAATTTTGAAACACACAAAGCACTACTTTGTTCTCCTCTCTCACTACAGTTTTCAGAAACTGCCGTCTACTGTGCTTACCCACTTTTGAAGGGAAGTGCATTCTCTGAAACTGTGGTCATCGTGTGGTTGAGAGGAGTTTCCTGGCCTTTGTCTTTGGACCATCAGACTTAAACTTACCATCACTCGCTTTATACAATACAACATATGCTCAGATATATGATGCGAGAGTAAGAAGGGGAGATTTTCCAAGTAAAAGCACTGTATTCATTACCAAACCTACAAGTCATATAGAACTATTTCTGTATCCTTTTACCTTTCACTGGACCACAAGTGGCCATTCGTTAAATATTTTAATTCCACAAACTGTCATTTTTCTTGAGAAACAAAAATCCCTGAATGTGACCCAAAAGGGGTTGCCCAAATTGATATGAAGTCCCTTTAAGAGCAGAAAAGCAACCCCAATAAAAGAGTGAAAACTATACGAGTGTCATGATGAGGCAAGACCGAAAAAGGGAGTTGAGTCATACTACGTGTGATGTGATGTCATGTACTCTCACTGTTATTGTGAGTTTTCCTCAAGGAGGAAGCTCAACTGAAAGCGTAATTTCGTCTCTATGTTGTGCAGCAGCAGCAGCAAGTAGAAGTGCACAGCAAACCGCCATATATGAAACAAAGTTTATTCTTTATTTTACATATCTGTACATAAACATTTCTTCCCTCAAATAAAGTATCTGAATACAGTAGGATGAAAACAATATTAACACACTTATTCATTTAAAATGACTCGTGTCAGAAAATCAACATTCACAAAATGTTGAAGAGCAATTAGAGTGAACGTATTACCAAAAAATCTACAACTCCACTACAAGGCAGGCATGTTTTCCTTTTACACTCTTATAGCACCTTCAAACGAACATTTCTCATCAGCTGAAAACGACCATTTGTGCAGAATAAAAACGGGTCGACTCTGAAATACTTTTAAATTACCGTCCAACTTAAAATGGTCTGAAGTTAGTTTTCCATGATTTTCTTTTCTCATACAGCGTTGTTTCTTTTTTTTCTTCTTTTTTTAAAATCTCATGACTGACTTTCTACTAAATTTTTCACTATTATTTTGTTTTGTTTTTTTCTCCACAATTTTTGAGCTTGAACAGCCATAATTTAGTGGTGAATGTAGAAAGTTAAAAAAAAGAAACGAGAGCAAAGCGAGGCCGATCACTGCACAGGAAGCTGGGGGACAGAATCCATGACGACACACAATCAGTTGCCTCCTCTCCCAGGAAACAGGACGTGCTACACCGTCCTTTGCGCTGGGAGAAAACCACAGAAGCGAATGAACGAGGGCGGCCTTCTTCTGTGCTGCTGCTACCGCTGAAGTCAGTGAGTTGGACAGAAAGGGAGATGGGGAGGTTCGGGAGCAGACAGGGAAGCGGCGAGGAGCAAAGTACTTCGGACAAGCGGGGAGGGGTTCGGATCGACACGGGGCAGAGGTGGAATGGCTGGAGGGGGAAAGCTTGTTTGGGAGCAGGGGACTAAGCTTGGCATAGGGAAGCGGATTGCAGGTGAGGGTGGGGAGTGTTAGGGTGGGGGGTGCTTGGGTGGAGGTTGGGGTGGTGGGGGGCATCTTATTTGGATAGGGTTTTCTCAGCCAAATGTTTCTGCTGGCTCTCGGCATGCCTGGAAAGAGAAAAGTTTTACATTATATTTATATTGACACTTAAATGATGAATTAAGTGACTCAACAAATCCAAAGATAAACAAGAGCACTCAAGCAGGGCAACTCCTCCTGAAGGGCGAGGGCTACACTAAAACTTTGTCACAATATGATGAGCCAAGCCTGTTATGACGTTGCAGGGCGTCGTACTAAAAACACAAAGTCTGTTGTATTGCTCTCTCCATGCCCTTTCATACAACAAGTTACTCGAATTGGTTTCTTGACTTTTTTTTCATGTCCCCCAAAGCCTAGTATGTTATCGGGGAGTTTGAAGATGATTAATAAAAAATTGTGGATAATATAAAGTTTTTAGGATTTTTGCATTTGGTACCACCTTGACAACAAATTGGTATCGATCATCACACCAAATTTAGAAAACTGTGGATGCTAGACTGCTAACAAACAGACAGACAGAAACGGTTACACACAGAGAACAACACCAACAGCTAAAGCTGAATATCTGATCCCCACATGCCCTGGCTAACCTGCTGAGCCTGCCAGAGGTTTTTTCCTTTCAAAGGGAAGTTTCTGTCTCCCCAAGTGCTTGCTCATAAGGGACTGTTGGATCGCTGAGGTTCTTTTTATTAAGTTGAAAAGTTGAAAAGTCTTGACCTCTTAGTGTAAAATGTAAAAAAACTTCTTTGGTTTAAAAAAAAGGAAAATCTACTAAAATCTCTTAGGTGCACAGGTGCATTGGGTGGCATGTTCACCTTCACATGCATCACCATTAGTTTTACTTCAGGAGCTACATGCATAGCTGAAAACAGTCCCTTACAAATGGATTACTTACTCACATTTGAGTAATGTTTGCTCAAAGGGGAACTCTGCACATTTAAGACATTAAAGCTTACAAGTGTTTACAATTCTCAGGAAGAACTACTTCACATGTGATAAGAAGTTGCGCAAAGACTTTTGCAGCCACTGAGAGAGCCGTTGAAGTTTGCAAAATCTGCGTACGAATGAATCCCTCGCGTTCTTTTTTATAAGTTAAAAAAATAAATAAATAGTGGGACATGCAGTGAATAAATAGTTGAAA